ACACAAACTTTTTTAGTAAAAAATAAAAAGAAGGTCTTTTTTTTTTTTTTTTTTTTTTTAAGATACTGGGGATTGAACCCAGGGCCTTCACACTAAGCTTCATCTTCTGTTCTTTTTTATTTTTTGAGACAAGGTCTCCAAGTTGCTTGGGCTGGACTCAAACTTGTAATCCTCCTGTCTCAGCCTCCCAGGTGCTGGGATTGCAGGTATGCATCACCTACCCAGTACAAGAAAGCTGGGCAGGTGCAGCTGTGCATAGCTATTATCCCACCTACTTGAGAGTCTGAGGACACAGGATTGCAAATTTGAGGCCAGCCGGGGCAAATTAGAGAGCCCTGTCCCAAATTTAAAAATAAAAAGGGCTCAGGATGTATCTCAGTGGTAGAGCACCCCTAGGTTTAATCCTCAGAATGGGAAGTGGGAGATGAATATATAAATGAAATAATTTTTCTCAAAACTTATCTGTCGTTTCCCAGATCACTTAGGCTAAAACCTGAAGACTACCATGACCCCATGCCCCTTCATGATTTTCCCTCTGTTATTCCACTATACTTCCACTGGCTTTCTCCTGGTCCTGGAGTATTTCTGGCTGTCTTCAGCATTTGCTCTGGCAGCCCTACACCTCTCTTTTCATAGCCTTCAGATTTTTCTAAAGTGTCACCTTCTCATGAAGGCTTTCGCTTGTCATGTTATCTAAAATGTCATCGCTTTTCACTTCCTACATCCTTTCCTGGTTTATTTTTTTCCCCTTAGCTCATCTGATAAACATTTTACTTAAACTGTTTTACTTATCATCAGTCTCTCTCCCTCAGCTCCATGAGGTCAGTTGTTTTGCCTTTCTTCGGGGCTATGTCCCTTGTTTGTACAGTAATACCTTAATCAGAGCTTTCTTAGGAATTTTTGTTAAATAACTGAGTACCTGCATCACCCCTTCTCTTGCTTTCTTCAAATCTGTTCATATGTCACCTTATCAATCAGTAAAAGCTTTTCTGAAGATCCTATATAGAATAGCACCCTTCCTCCCCAGACTGTATTATGTGTCTTTCCTTAATTTTTCTTCATTGCACTTAGCACCACTGGACATGGTGTATGTTTAGGTTTTTGTCTTTCTTTCCCTTCCCTGCAGATCCTAATTTACACGAAGATGGGGACTTAGTTTTGTTCGCCAGCTTCCTCAACGCCTTACCTCAGTCCTTGACTCCTTGTAAGTGTGCAATAGCTATTTCTTGAATGAACCAACAAAACAACTGTAATGCGCTACCACAAACCCTTCCAAGCTGGCCTGAGATGCCAGGTTAATCAAGAGAGGCTCTCTAGCGAGCACACCAAATTTCTTTTCAAATTCCAAACTGCTCCTTGCTAGGACCTGCGGAACATCTGCTTTGGCCATTTCGTTTTTGCTTCCTAAAATTTCACTGTAATACTGAGCTCAGGCCAACTCAGCGAACAGAAATATGTAGCACATGGCCAGGTGTGGTAGCACCTGTAATCCCAGCACCGAGGCAGGAGGGTCACTGATTTGCGATTTTTTTTGGGGGGGTGGGTACCTGGGACTGAACTCAGGACCTCTAGCTTGCGAGGCGGAGGCGGGCGCGGTGCAACTGAGCTAAATCCCCCACACCCAGCAGGAGGATCACTGAGAGTTCGAGGAAACCTGGGCCACAAAATCAGTTGATTCAAGGCCAGCCTGAACTACATAGTGAGACCCTGTCTCAAAAAAAACCCCAAAAAACAAAAAACAAACTTTCGGACATTAACCAAAATTTAACGGATTTACTTGCCTATATCTTAAAAGAACACAAAGCCTAGCCGGGAAAAACAAGCTCAGCGCGGAAGAGCATTCTGCGGAGAGAGGCAGGACGAGCGTCTGCCCGCCCACCGAGCTGTGGGTTGGCCGAGGCTCGGGGTTTCGCCCATATGGGTATGGGCTGGAGTCTGGGCAGGGCGTGCCAGAAGGCCTGTGGGGCGGAGCAAACGAGGGTGGGTGGAACGTCCTCCCGCCCTCCGGCTTCAGGATTGGCCGAAACTCAGCCGGGACCGCCCCACCCCCGGGGCCGCGGCAAGAGCAGGAGGGAGGTGTGGCGAGCCCAGGCGTGTGCTCCAGCCCATCTTGCTGATTGGCCAAGGCTCGACAGACCCGCCCCTATTTGGCAGCCGCGCGGACTGGGCGGGGCGCCGCGAGAGGCTCCGGCTGAGCTCTGACTAGCGGGCGGGCGTGGCGGATGACGGCAGCGGCTGTACTAGTTGCTGGGGTCGGGGATGCAGCGGCTGAATCGCCCTGTCGCTCTTGGGTGTGGCTGAAGGATGGCGAACGTGCGGGTGGCCGTGAGGGTGCGTCCCCTCAGCAAGAGGTGAGCGTGAGGGGGCCCCTGAGGCGCGAGGGAGCGGAAGGGACGCGGGCACCTTC